GAGTCTTGACACGTGCGGAAACCCATCACCATGCTTAAAGAGTCTCCAAACCAAACTGAGAGTTCTCTGCAACCCACCTACACATGGAAATGTAGATTGTTTGAATGGAATGCCCACTCTCTCCCTGTAGGGACACGTATCCGGCTTACCTAGTTCTGGAAAGTATTAGACACAGATGGAAGAGCCAAGGCTTGGGGAACCCCAGAGTGTGCGTTCCAGCTAAAACCGCATGGTTAGACTCCAGCTGTGTCCCAATGATGTGATAAGATTGTGAAAGCAGTAATACAAAGCCCGTATCCACTAAGTAAAAGTTATACATTCCCATGAGGATTCAGAGTTGTTTTTAAACTTGTCAATAATTCACTATGGATACACATATATATATGGATATATTATCAATGCTAATTGGAAGTGGCTCCAGTGCAGATAAGCAAACAGTCCGAATAATGAATTTCATACAAATTATAATATAATATATAATATCCTGTACTTGATATAGCGCCTGTAAGCATCTCAAAGTGGCTCATAGCATATACTGTAAAGGGAATTGACTGTATATTTTGTGGGCGAAACATGGCAGTCATTTGCGCACAGCAATGTTCCAATGTGAAAGGTGCTATATAAGAAATAGTGCAAATAATGCAAAGGCGCTATATGCTGTGTAAGTTGTTGGGGTACACAATCACTTTTACACTTTGTTAGCTGCAAACAATGAACGTGCTTTTAATGTCCTTCAGATGAGAAGTAAAACCGAGCTCCTGTCTGTGTCTGTTCAGATGGACATTAAATAGCATCTGAAACACATGAAAAAATGCCGGTAAAATGCCGGTACCGGCATTGTAATTAATAATAATAATAATCCTTGCATTATGATATAGAAGTCATTTTCTCTATACACTTGTCCCTGACTCTCAGAAACGCTGAATCACACCGTCTTTGTGGCAAGATTTAAACGTCAGTTATTATGGGAGTGTACAGGGGGCTAATTTGCATTATTTCTTAAGCAGATTTCTTAATAAGAATCACGATGTTGAGACGTCTCAAAGCGCTTCACAGGATATACTGTAAGGTGAACTGACTGTATATTTTGTGGGAGAAACACGGCAGCCAATTGCGCACAACAGTGTCCGTCCCACAAACAGTCGTGGATTGAGTGATTGAATTATTATTATTAAAAATTTTGAAGGGATTATTATCCCCAGAAAAGCGATCAGCCAATCGACTAAAGACTTAGTTCCCACTTACTGCTAAGTAAACAGAGGTGTTGTAAGGAAACTTGCCTAACGTTTCACCCTGCCCAGGAATTAAACCCAGGTCCTCTCGCTCGCAAAGCGAGTGCTCTAACCACTAAGCTACAGGATTCCATCGTATTCCCGTTGCTGTGTGGATAATGGCATTGTAACTTGTTCCCTCCTGGGGGCAGAATGCCGGCTCACATGGCATCGTGGTCAAACACAAAGGTACCTTTTTCTGAGGTCATTTTCTCTATACACTTGTCCCTGACTCTCAGAAGCGCATTACCACACCGGCTTTGTGGCAAGATTTAAATATCAGTCATTATGTGAGCGTACAGGGGGCTAATTTGTATTATTTCTTAAGCAGATTTCTTAATAAGGATTCTGAGGCACACAAATAGAAACTGCTTCCTGTAACAGGACGTGTGTCATACCAACCCGTGGGAACTTTGCTCCAACACCATCCACGTCCAGGACAGAATTCCTTATTAATCTGGCCACGGAGCTGGTGTGGTACAGTACTTCTGAGAGGCAAGGACAAGTGGAGTCCTGTAGCTTAGTGGTTAGAGCACTTGTCTCACAAGCGAAAGGACCTGGGTTCAATTCCCAGGCAGGGCGGAACGCTGGGCAAGTTTCCTTACTCTATACGACTCTGTTTACCTAGCAGTAAGTAGGAACCCGGTTATTAGTCGATTTGTTGATCGCTATTCCGGGGGTAATAATTCCTTAAAAAAAATGTGGTCACTTAATCCACGATAATTTGTAAGGACGCTGCTCTGCAAAAATGGCTGCCGTGTTTCGCCCACAAAACATACAGTCAATTCACTTTACAGTATATTCTGTCAAGTGCTTTGAAATGTCGAGAAGACGTGATAAGGCACTATAACAAATGCAAGGATTATTATTATTATTAATCATTCCTATCAGAGTTCCACTGGGCCGACTGGCATCAAACAGCAATCGCATTATCAAATACCGTTTAAATAAAAATTGTATTTATTTATTTTTTGGAGGGATTGTTACCCCCAGAAAGCGATCCACCAAATTGACTAACAACTGCATTCCTACTTACTGCTCGGTAAACAAAAGTGTGTGGGGTAAGGAAATTTACCTAAGGTTTCGCCCCCACTCGGGAATCGAACCTTGTGAGGCGAGTGCTCTAACCACTAAACCACAGAATTCCACAAATGGAGCAAATCAGAGGCGCTCTGAGACAGAGTTCTAGAGAGCAAGGGCAGGCAGGCTGACAGCCCGACTGGTGATGGATGGTGGGGCGGGCAGGGCGGAGAACGGGAAGGATGTGGCAGGTTTGAGGAGGTGGAATTTAAGTGATTAAGCAATCACTGTTGCACAAATATTGCTGCGTTGCCTGCACTACGCGAGGCTATTAAAATAGTCTGATTCAGAAGAATTGCAATATTGTCACGTAATGGATTCAAATTCAGGAATTTAACATCAAAACCTTGTCCACGTCGGGAATTTATTTGGAAGTAAATAACTTGTCTTTTCAGCTTATGCCCCCCCCCACCCCCACACGTCACCGTGTGTGAAAAAAATGTGCAGGGCTATGGCAAGAGCGGGGAGTGAGACGAGTTGGTAGCTCTTTCAAAGATGGGCCGAATGGCCTCCTTCTGTGCTGTAAGATTCTATGATTCTCTACTGTCTGACCCTCAGTGGCCAGGGAGAGCGACTTTGTATCTGTTTGGACCCCACAAGCAGAACAAAGTTTATCTGCTATGTTCTACTCATGGGATTCAAACAATTATCCCTTAAAATAATAATAATAATTTGTTCACTCAATCCACGACTGTTTATGGGACACTGCTGTGCGCAATTGGCTGCCGTGTTTCGTCCACAAAATTACAGTCGATTCACTTTAAAGTAAATCCTGTGTTGCGCTGTGTTTGAGACATCTCAATGACGTCATAAGGCACCACAACAACAACAACAACAACAAGATTCCATTTATAGAGCGCCTTTCACGTCAGGAGGACGTCCCAAGGCGCTGCACAGTTGGGTCATGACCCGAGCAGGGGGGAAATGGTCAGGGTGAGGGGAGGGAAGGGAGGGAGAGAGGAGGGGGAAATGGTCAGGGTGAGGGGAGGGAAGGGAGGGAGCGAGGAGGAGGAAGAGAGTCGAGAGGGGAGCTGAAGGCTCGGTCAAAGAGAAAGGTTTTGAGACCGGCCTTGAAGGAGGAAAGGGAGGAAGCAAGGCGAAGGCACTGGGGGATGGAGTTCCAGAGCCTCGGGGCTGAGAGGCTGAAGGCCCGACCACCGATAGTAGGGCGGTTGGGGCGGGGGACGTGGAGCAGACCGGAGCCAGAGGAACGGAGGGTACGGGCAGGTAGGTAGGGGGATAGTAGGTTGGAGAGGTAGGAGGGAGCAAGGCCGTGAATGGCCTTGTAGGTGAGGATGAGGATCTTGAAATCAATCCTCTGGGGGATGGGGAGCCAGTGGAGGCGAGCGAGGGTGGGAGTGATGTGGTCCCGAAGCCTGGTGCGGGACAGTACACGAGCTGCAGAGTTCTGAATGACCTGCAGCTTGTGGAGGGAGGTGGCGGGAAGGCCGGCGAGGAGAGAGTTCCCATAGTCCAGCCTTGAGGTGACAAAGGCGTGAACCAGGGTTTCAGCAGCGTGAGGGGTGAGGTAGTGCCGTAGTCTGGCGATATTCCGGAGGTGATGGAAGGCGGTGCCAGTTGTGGTGCGGATGTGAGGGAGAAAGGACAGCTCAGGGTCAAACAAAACGCCGAGGTTCCTGACTGGCTTTGAGAGGTGGAGAGTGCAGCCTTGGATGCTGATGGTGTCAGCGCCTGAGGTGCGGAGGCGCTGACGTGAGCCAATCAGGAGGGCCTCGGTTTTTCGCACGTTGAGCTGAAGAAAGTTGTCTCTCGTCCAGGACTCGATGTCGGACAGGCAGGCTGTCAGGACATCGGTGGTCGTGGAGTTGAGAGTAGAGGAGGAAAGGTAGAGTTGGGTGTCATCCGCATACATGTGGAAGTTAACTCCATGTTGCGGATGATGTCACCAAGGGGGAGCATATAGAGGGTGAAGAGGAGGGGACCGAGGACAGAGCCCTGAGGGACACCACATGAGACAGTACGGGGGGTGGAGGAGAAGCCATTCGTTGAGACGAAGTGAAGACGGTGGGAAAGGTAAGAGCTAAACCATTCAAGGACAGTGCCTTGAAGGTTGAGGTGGGAGGACAAGCGGTGGAGTAGGATAGCGTGGTCATCACCACATCAAATGCAAGTATTATTATTATTATTAATTACAATGCCGGTACCAGCATTTTACCGGCATGTTTTCATATGTTTCAGGAACTCTTTTACGTCTACCTGGACAGGCACAAACGGGAGCTCGGAAGGACATTAAAAACGCGTTCATTTTATGCAGCTAATCAAGTGTGAAAGTGACTGTTTATCCCAACAGCAACAAATTGTATTTATACAGCGCCTTTCACATCGGGAGGACGTCCCAAGGCGCTGGACAGTCAGGGGTTTGCAGCCGAGCTGGGGGTTGGGATCAGAGAGGGGTGGAGGGCGGAAGTGGGCGGGGGGTGGCGGTGGAGGAGGGAAGATGACTGAAGACATTCACTGGCTTGTTTCAATTGCCGGTGACTGCCATACGTCATTCTAGTTACACTTAGCCAGGAATTCCAGCTTACCGGACCTGCTCACCACCCATTAGCCCCGTTAGCCGGGGGGGGGGGGTATTAGTGTGGTGTTTTTTGATTGAATGTGTGTCAAAATTTATGCTGTTTTCAACAGGAGAAGCTTGGAGCTTCCGAATACTTCACCGGTGATTCAGGGACGAGAGAGTCTCACAACGTATCTGTGTCAGCTCAAAAGAAGAAAGATGTTCTGAAACACATGTAGGTGTACATGTATGTGAGTGTATGTGTGTGTGGGAGTGTGTGTGTGTGTGTGTGTGGAAATGTTTGTGTGTGTATACGTATGTGTGTATGTGTGTGCACAACCAGTTAAATAAAGCATTGGAGTCCTGCAGCTCAGTGGTTAGCACTCGCCTTCCAAGCGAGACACCTGGGTTCAATTCCAGGCAGAGGGCGAAACCTTGGGCAAGTTTCCTTACTCCACAGCCCTAACAATAATCCCTCCAAAACAAAACAGTAATAAATTGGTCATTTTCAATCCACGACTGTTTGTGGGAACTGCTGTGCGCAATTGGCTGCCGCGTTTTGCCCACAAATAGCCAGTCAATTCACTTTATAGTATATTCTGTGAAGCACTTTGAGACGTCTAGAGTACTTGAAAAGCGCTTTATCAAATGCAAGGATTATTATTGCTCCCCAATTGGATACAGAATTGGCTGGGAGACCTTTCAATACTCAACAATTAAGCTTGGAGGTTAGCATTGAATGGCACAGAAGGAAGCCATTTAGGCCTTACGCCTGTTCTGGCTCCTTGAAAAAGCTACCCAATCAGTCGCACTCTACGTCGGGGACTTTGAGCTTACAGACCAGGCAGTGCTGGGGGGAACACTGCATTGTAATAGATGCTGTCCTTCGGATGAGACGTTTAATCGAGGTCCCATCTGTACCTGTTCAGGTGGATCTTAAACATCCACGGTGCTATTTGAAAACAGAAGGTTGTTTCTCTCTACCGGTGTCCAGGCCGACAATCCCCACTTCATGGCGGTTTGTGGGGTGTTGCTGGTGGTAAATTGATTGTCACGCTTGCCCAAAAAAAACACAGTCACTACATTTCAACAACAACTAATTACATTTGTATAGGGCCTTTCAAGTCCGGAGGACGCTCCAAGGCGCTGAGTAAAATTTCACAGTAAAATCCTGTGAAGTGTTCGAAGATACCTCAATGACGTGATAAAGCACTCTGCAAAATGGATTTAGCTATTGGTTTTAAACCATTTTTTCTTCAAGGCAACACCGTGCTCAGTAACCTTGCAGGGAGCAATCCTCAGACAGATAGATTTCTTTTTGGATTTGTTTTACAATTTGCTTTTCCTTGTAAGCCTGGGTTTCCTGCCTTTCGCTTTTTTGTATCTAAAATAACATTTGTGTGAAATCAGGATTCGTTTTGACAGCTGCAGCTATCTGAGCCATTTGGAACAGCTAATGAAGACTGATATTTGGATCCTTTAGAGGAAAGAAGAGCTGGAGAGTGCAATTGAAAACAATCTGTATCTGCATCTGTAACTGGTAGAGAAATGGGTGACAGCACACACCTATTAACTCATTACCTTGTTCATTTTGGAGTCCCGTAGCTCAGTGGTTAGAGCGCTCGCCTTGCAAGCGAGAGGCCCTGGGTTTGATTCCCGGGCAGGGTGAAACATTGGGCAAGTTTCCCCACTCCACACGCCTCTGTTTACCAAGCAGTAAGTAGGAAACTGATTGTTAGTTGATTGGAAGGTTGCTTTCCAAGGGGTAATACTCTATCACGAAAAAAAATTTGGTCCCTCAATCCACGACTGTGGGACACTGCTGTGTGCAATTGGCTGCCGCGTTTTGCCCACAAAATTCACAGTCACTACGCTTTACAGTACATCCTGTGAAGCGCTTTGAGACGTCTCAAAGACGTAATAAGGCGCTAAATTAAATGCAAGGATTATTATTATTAATAATTTCTTTCAGGGTGACGAAGATTAGCTCTGATACAAAGATCGGAAAGTCAAGCAACTGGGAAGTGAGCGACGACCTGACAAAAGCGGCTGTAACAGGAGCAGGCGGGGAATGTGAGCAGGATATAGCCCAGCCTGCCACACGTTCCAGCCCTGTGCTCCGGCGCATGAATGCTGGCAGGACAGCGGATGGCAGGAACACAGTTCGAAGCCAGTTACTGCTTCCTGTCGTAAAGCTGGAGAGAGATATTGGTACGAGAAAGGCAGCTGAGCGGCTCTCCCGACAGCTGAGCAGTGTCTCAAACAGCTCGGTGGGTGTCAGCCAGTCAGCGCCGCGAATTCCCAAACTGAATGAATTCAAGATGAAGACAATAAGCGGGCCCTGCTCTCAGAACGGAGCGGGCAATGCCGAGGCGGTGGCTTCTGCGGAGATTCCAGGACTTGGGAGCCAGGTTAGAGCCGAGATGAATTCTCCAGGATCTGTGTGTGGAGAGACGCCTGGAAGAGAAATGCTTTCAAAGCCCAGGTCTGACTGGCAGAGGGATGTTGTGCGAGCTGGAGCAGGCAGCGGTGAACTCAGCGACATGGAGGGGGCTGAGAGGAAGCCACCAGCCATGCAGAATCTCTGTGATGACTTCAGCCCCGGTAACAAGCGCAGGAAAGCGGCTTCGGATGTACAGACCGGGCCGGCCCGGAGGTCAGAAAGAAGAAGTTTGTGTTCTCGATCAGTTCGTTCGGTCCCTGGAAGAGGACGAAAGACAGCCCTCGAAGGCAAAGAACCAGGAGAGGAGAACGCGCCCAGGAAATCCAGGCTCCGGAGGCCACGCAAAGCCGCAGGGAATGAAAACGCCGTCGTGTAACCGTTAGCAAGCGCTGGCTGGAGTTTGCTGGTGACGGGAAGTGAGGCGTTATTGTGGGAATGCGTTTCAGCGGGATTCAGAGTGACTGAGACACACCAGCCCATTCCAACCTCTGAACTGAACTGAACTGAACGTTCAGGCCACTGCTTGTGGCTTCAGCTTTTAACGGTTAACCATCTGAAACCTCGCTTTAGTATTCCTTTCAGGATTTGTGGCTTGCCAGGCCATAAATGACAGAGCGTACAAGATTTCCGGAAAATGTTTCTAGGGAGTTATTTTATGGTCACTGCTGCTATAATTGTGTCCTCCTTCCGCCAATTCCCGCTTGTATTTCACATTAAAGTTTTGATCTTCTGCTTGTATCTCGCCGCCTCCCGGTCTCATTCATGCTTCACATGGAGTCCTGTAGCTTAGTGATCAGCGCGTTCGCAAGCGAGAGGACCCAGGTTCAATCCTCGGGCAAAGCAAAACCCAAGGCGAGTTTCCTTACTCCATGCTCCTCTGTTTATCTAGCGGTAAGTAGGAACCTGGTTGTTGGTCAGTTGACGGATTACTTTTCAGGGGTAATATTCCCCTTCCGCCCTCCCCACCCGCGTGGAATTGGCTGTCGCATTTCGCCCACAAAATACTCAGTCAATCAGTATATCATGTGAAGCGCTTTGAGACGTCTCAATGATGTGATAAGGCGCTATGTCAAATGCTAGGATTATTATTATTATAACTTAAGTGCGTGCCAGTGATCATGGCTACGAATTGTCCTGATTTATCTTTGAGGGAGGGAATGTTTTGATTATGTTATATTGAACCTTTACAAATTGCTGGATAGTCCTCAGCTGGAATATTGTGTCCAATTCTGGGTAATGCACGACAGGAAGGATGTCAAGGTCCTGGCAGAGGGTGCAGAGATTTACCAGGATGGTACCAGGGATGAGGGACTTCAGTTATGTGGAGAGACTGGAGAGGCTGGGATTATTTTCCTTAGAGCAAAGAAGGTTAAGGGGAGATTTAATAGAGGTTTTCAAAATAATTAGGGGTTTTGATAGAGTAGAAAGGGAGAAACTGTTTCCGCTGGCGGGTGGGTCGGTAGCCAGAAGACACAGATTTAAGATAACTGTCAAAAGAACCAGAGGGGAGAATAGGAGAAAAATTTTACCCAGAGAGTTGTTACGCACTGGAACGCATTGCCTGAAAGGGTGGTGGAAGCAGCTTTCAAAAGGGAATTAGATTGGTACTTAAAAAGGAAAAATCTACATGGGGTAAGAGTGGGACTAGTTGGTAGCTCTTTCCAAGAGCCAACACCGGCACGATGGGCCAAATGGCTTCCTTCTATGCTGTTAAGATTCAATGATTCTATGATTAAGGGAGAGCAATTCCAGAAAAGGAGAAAAAGGAAAGTAATTATACGTGTTTCCGTGGGGAGGGGGTTTCACCAGATCACTATTGGAGGTATGTTTGATAGTCAGTATTTATTCCCGACCGCACCAAGTCACAAGTGGCATGGACAGGGCCCTCTGTCTGGGTGACGTTAAAGCACCTGTGGTACTGTTTGAAAGGAGAATAATAATAATAATAATCATCCTTGCATTTGGTATAGGCCCTTATCACGTTGGGAGGATGTCTCAAAGTACTTCACAGGATTTTACTATGAATTAGAGTATTTGTATTTGTAGGGGTAGGTTCTCACAATTGCCAGGTAGCAAGCGAGCAATTTTATTGGGGGTTTGTTGGCCAGGACACCGGGAGAGAGAAACTCTTTTCCAATTGCGCCGCAGGATTTTTAATATCCACCTGAACAGACGGGACCTCAGTTTAACGTCTCATCCGCAGAACAGCACCTCTGACAATACAGCTTTCCCCCCAGCACTGCCCTGGAGCATCAGTGTAGACTGTGTGGCTTCAAATCCCGACAGTTGTGGGGATTGAACCCCTAACCTAACTCAGAGAGTGCTACCACCATGTCAGGCTGACACACAGGGAGAAAGGAGTTTCTCTCTCTCGGTGTCCTGGCCATCAATCCCCGAGATACAATTGGTTATTCACTTCATGGGTGCTTGTGGGATATCGATCTGTGAAAATTGGCTGCTGTGCTCTTCCACAAACCACACAGTCACTGCACTTTACAGTATATCCTGTGAGGAGTTTTGACATGTGCTTCTGATGTGAAAGGTACTATATATAATGTAAAGATTATCATTAATAATCCTAGTGACCCCCATATTGAGACTTTATACCTTCACATACATCAGCAACAACTTGCAGTTATACACAACCCTTCACACATCCCAGGGCACTTAACATGGTTATCCCAGTTGCCTTACATGAGTATGTTGCCAAGAGCAATCCAAATGAAGAAGACCCATCGGCCCATCTGATCTCCTCCCTCCAGAACACCCACCCTACCGTCCCCCCCCATCACAGAATCCAGCTGTTTTTTAAACAAGTTGAAGTGTCCTGGCCTCAACCCGCCCTTCCTGGTGACTTGTTCCAGTTGTTAATTACCCTCTGGGTAAAGAACCACTTCCTGGTGTCTGTGGTGAAATTGCCCCTTTAGAGCTCTAATCCTGTGTCCTCTTGTTCTACTGTCTCGGTGCATCTGAAACTATTAAGTGGACTTAGGTCACTTGTGAGAGTGAAGGGAACTTTTCTCTCATGCCTCCCCAGTTTCTCAGCCTTCTAGAATTATTTTTAGTTTGTCAGTTTGAGCTGTGAATCAGGTCTACAGGATTATAATTGTTGCCAAGTTATGACTTCATAAGCATTTTCCTCAAGAATTGGTCTTCTTCAGTCCTTTCCCACGGATCAAAAAATTGAATCAAAAAATCTCCCATTCAACCCAGAGCCAATCCATCAGCCTCAGGTACCGAGACTCAATAAATAAATAATTTTGATACGGTGCCTTTTATGGCAGGATTATCTTATTATTATCCAATTATTATACAGGATTATTATCCAAAGTGTTTCACAGGATTTACTGTAAGGTGCAGTGATCGCGTATTTTGTCAACAAACGTGGCAGCCAATGGCAGTTTACACACAGCAATGTCCCACGAACCGCCTTTAAGTAAAGTAATAACTGATTTTATTGGGGGATTCTGTTGGGGGGGGAGGGGGGGGCGAAGGGGAGGTAAGTGGGGTCCTCAAGCCTTGGTTCTTGCCAACCTGCGCCTAATACTCTCCGGAATTAGGTAAACAGGATGTGTCCCTCCAGGGAGTGAGTGCACATCCCATTCCAACAATCTCTCTCTGGGATTTCCAGGTGTAGGAGGGATGCAGGGAATTCTGTTTGGTTTGGATACTCTTAAGCACCATGATGGGTTTCCGCATGTGTTATGACCAAACAAAATCAGGGATTGTTGGCCAGGACACCAGGAGAGAGAAACTCCCTTATCTTTACGAATTGTGCCCATGTCCTGAACAGCTACAATGGGCCCTCGGTTTAACGTCTTGTGTGAACAGTGAGACAATGTGACCTAATCACTGCCCTCCCACCCCCCCCCGTTTCACTCAAAGGCAAGAGTGCTAGTAACTGAGCCAGGATCACACACACACACACACACACACACAGTGACTGAGCCAGGCTGACACACACACAGTGACTGAGCCAGGCTGACACACACACACACAGTGACTGAGCCAGGCTGACACACACACACACACACACAGTGACTGAGCCAGGCTCACACACACACACACACAGTGACTGAGCCAGGCTGACACACACACACAGTGACTGAGCCAGGCTGACACACACACAGTGACTGAGCCAGGCTGACACACACACAGTGACTGAGCCAGGCTGACACACACACACACACACACACAGTGACTGAGCCAGGCTGACACACACAGTGACTGAACCAGGCTGACACACACACACACACACACATACTCACAGTGACTGAACCAGGCTGACACACACACAAATACTCACAGTGACGGAGCCAGACTAACACAAATGTCACTGATTGTATTGATGGCTGTTTGCGATTAGAAATGACAAACATCACTTTCCAGCTCAAAAGGAGTGTAGACGCCTGAGACTTCTCTTCTTTCCTTCCTCAAAGGAAACATGTCGGTGAAGGACAGGAAGACAAGGTGGTTTGGGTTTGATGTTTTGCTTCAATTCCGTTTCCTTTATTTTGACATTGGCTTTGCATTTGGGAAGCTCGTCCAAGAATCAACATGCTATGCTTGTCTGGCTTTAGCAAGAGAAGTTCACCCCAAACTGCCCGCTTTTCCCAAAAGATACCATATCAAATAATACTATATTATTTTTCCATTTGTTTTATCCTGTATTGCCAAGAAACATATCAATTATACCATCAAAACTGAAGAGAATTTGTACACCCTAGAATTACCAAGATCTCAGACAACTGATGGAATAAAAAGCCACCCACCACCCCAGTTTCTCTTTCAATGTTGGGGGGAGCACTACATTGTCGGATGTTCTGTCCTTTGGATTAGATGTTAAACCAAGGTCCCATCTATACCTGTTCAAATGGATTTTAAAGATCCCGCGGTGCTATTGGAAAAGAGAAGGGAGTTTCTCTCACCCAGTGGCCTGGCCGACAAACCCCCTCCCCCAAATAAAATTGGTCTTGATTTTTCTGTGCACAAACTGCTTACTGGGGTCATCCACAAAGCACACTATGCTTATAATATGGTCATCCACTCTGCTTATAATAATCCTTGCATTTGATACAGTGCCTTACTACGTTGTTTTGACATCTCAAAGCGCTTCACAGAATAATGTCATAGCGCTTTTCACGTCTTCTAGACTCCCAAAGAGCTTCACAGAATATACTGTAAAGTGAATTGACTGTATATTTGTGGGTGAAACGCGGCAGCCAATTGCACACAGCAGTGTCCCACAAACAGTCGTGGATCGAAGTGACCAATTTATTATTGTTTTTTTCTTAAGGGATTATTATTAGGCGTGTGGAGTAAGGAAACCTGCCCAAGGTTTCGCTCTGCCCGGGAATCGAGCCCAGGTTTCTTGCTTGTGAGGCGAGTGCTCTAATGCACTGAGCTACAGGACTGCACAATAATCCTTGCATTTGATATAGTGCTTTATCACGACTTCGAGACATCTCAAAGCGTTTCGCAGAATATACTGTAAAGAGAATTGGATGAATTGTGGGATAATAAACTACTGTGTGTTTTGTGAGCGAAACGTGGCAGCCAATTGCACACTTTACGGTAAATGGCGCTTTGAGCCTTTTTGACATGATAAGACAATCTGCCAAATGCAAAGATGATTAATAAAATTGAAGGCGTTTCAGTCTTTGTGTTATTCACTTGATTGACTAACGATAAAATCAGCGAAACAGTCCACGTTATGTGTGTTTATAAAAAAGGCTGGA